GGAGTAGGAGTAGGAGTAGGAGTAGGAGTAGGAGTAGGAGTAGGAGTAGGAGTAGGAGTAGGAGTAGGAGTAGGAGTAGGAGTAGGAGTAGGAGTAGGAGTAGTAGTAGTAGTAGTAGTAGTAGTAGTAGTAGTAGTAGTAGTAGTAGAGTAGTAGTAGTAGTAGTAGTAGTAGTTAGTATAGTAGTAGTAGTAGTAGTAGTAGTAGTAGTAGTAGTAGTAGTAGTAGTAGTAGTAGTAGTAGTAGTAGTAGTTAGTAGTAGTAGTAGTAGTAGTAGTCGTAGTAGTAGTAGTAGTAGTAGTAGTAGTAGGAGGAGGAGGAGGAGGAGGAGGAGGAGGAGGAAGAGGAGGAGGACAAGGAGGAGCTGGAGGAGGAAGAGGAACAGAGGTGACGAGCGCATGGGGGGGAATATCCGTTCAGGCCTAGCCACAGGGCAACAGCCGACCTTGATCGACCCCGCCGAAGAGCATGTGGCACGGCTGCATATCGGCCGCGGCCCGCGGCGGGGCGCTCGCAGCACGGGGCACCGACATCGCGCGCGGAAGCAGCAATCGGTCAACACGAGCACGAGAGAAGCTGGGGAACGGGAGGGGAACCACCCGCAGAGGGCATCGAGAGGGACGGACAGAGAGAGGGAAGCTGGGACGACGCACGCTCCAGCACATTGCTATGCAGCACATACAACGTCTCATGAACAGGCTCGGTAATACACATCAGATCATTGCGAGGCAGCCCGCTCGCCCCTTCACCACCCAATGGGTCGTCTTCCACAGGCCGAGGACTCGGAGGTGTCGCGATCGCGGTCGGCGGAGTGGTTGGCAAACCATTTCTCGAGACCACTGGCGTCAACGCAGGCGAGGACACCACGGGCGCCACAAGCTCAGAGCACACGGACGACGATGAAGACACTGCAGGCGTGAGTCGCGGCGACGGCATCGGAGACGCAGAAGAGGCACCCGATGATGAGCTGGACGAAGCCGATGGCTCAGAGCACATGGGAGACAATGAAGAAACAACAAGCGTCAACAGAGGCGACGGCATCGGAGACGCTGATGAGTAAATTGATGATGAGCTGGACGAGGCGAGCGTCGCAGCGGCCGCCGAGCGAACCGCTCCGCCTGCCCTGCGAGATGCGCGAGGGCCGCCCCATCTGCATCGAGCGCGCGCCAGCCAGCGCACGCGAGTGGCGAGCCGCTGCATGCAGAGGCCAGTGCTGGACCGTCTTGGCAGCGCGGTACATCGAGTAGGCGGCCGCCAAGTACTCGCACGCTGGCAAAGACGGAGGGGGGGGGGGCATCGCTGGAGAGCACGTAGAGGCACATGTCGCGCGAGAGCAGCACGTCAGGCAACGTGCATGGGGCGGCACCTCGCGCAACGCCGCAAAGTATTCAGGTGCGGGCCACTTCCAAATGCGCAGCAGCGCAGCCCATCAACATGCGCAATGCGCGCCGAGGTCAACCATCCATCGGCCCAAGTACGTACGCAGGCCCGCACCCTTGAGCATGGGGAACGACGTAGTGTGGTTTCAATCGCACTCCAGTTCAGTGGGCGCGATGGCCACGGAATGTCGCGGGAGCAACTTTGAGAGCGCATCGCCAGCAAGGTGGACAGAGGGCAGCCGCCTGGCGAAGGGACAGAAGAGCTCGGCGAGCTGCGCGCCGAGGCCGCGGCTGGCAACCTGTCGCAGAAACAAGCCCCCATTGAACAGCTGCGGCGGCCGCCATCGAGCGAGGCGAAGCCGCTCCCCGCGCCGCGCCGCGCAGGGTCTGAACGAACGACTCGGAAAGCCAGAAGTTCGGGCACAACGCGCCAGAGTGCAGCATGCCAAGCGTGAGAGGGCCACCATGATTAATAACATGTTGCTGGAAGTCCGCGAGGAGCTGCTCGCGCGCCGGGAACGCGACGGCAGCCGCGCGGGCCAGTCGCGGTGCAGAGCAGGCCCCAGCGAGGGATCCGCGGGCCGCCTCAGAACCCCAAGTGGGCCCGAGCACCCGTGGACAACGCACCAAGTGAGATGCGGAACGTCTGTGCCAAAATCATCAGTTCCCATCCAGCCATGTCCGCGGGAAGCTGACGAATTTGAGCTACATCAGAGAGTGGCGGAACAGCGGGGGCGCGGCAGAGGTGGGCAGACGCGCCGGGTGGAGCCGAGCCTCTCCCAATAGCTTCAGCCCGCATACGAATCTTTGCCATGGGAGCACCCCAGCCGGCCGCCGGAAGAGCACCAGGTCCCATAGCAATCCCCAAGTAGAGGAGCGCGGCAACCACCTCAAAGCAGGCCCACTCAAGGACCACAGACGCGATGAGGGGGGGCACGGCGGAGGCCAACTGGGGGCTGAAAGGGGCCAGAAGGGGGGCCACTGAGCACTTCGCAGCCTTCAGCACGATATTCGCCATCGAGGAGGCCCCGTCCATCACGCGCCTCGCATTCTTCAGGTCGGAGATGCAAGTCAAGACGCCCCCGATGTCATCGGCGCAGGCCCGCGCGACGCCCTCGGTCGCCAGGCCAACGCAGCGCAAGGGGTCGTGGAGAAAGGCCGAGGTCGCAAGCGCGTAGAGTGCCCCAGAAAGCCACGCCCCCTTGAATAATACCACTGCGAACCCAAAACAGGGGCTGAAAGATCCCGCCCACGGATGCAACTCTCAGAACCGCCACATAAAGAAAGCCAATGAAGCGAAGCGAAGCCCCAACACCCCCAGCACACGCAGAGCCAGGAAGACGCAGTCTTGATGCAGCGACGGGATGGCCTGCCCAAAGCCCAACGAGAACAGGATCGGGATGCTCGGCAGTGGAGACGGCGACAGCTGACGAGCGCGGCAGCCAAGCTCGAGAATGTGCAGACCAAAGGTCCGCGGCGCAACAAAGCCTCGTTGGCTCGCGGGGGCAACCGCCTGCAGCGCAGGCTCGAGGGCGCGGTTGACGACCGCAGACACAATCTTCACGCCGGCATTGCGAAGCCCAAGAACACGGGCTTTCTCCGCGAGCCGAGCGCACCCCCCTGAAGCAAGCTCCTCCTCTGAGATCGCCTTCGGGAGAGGCGTCCGAAGAATGGCCGAGGCCGCGTTGAACATGAGCTGGCCCGAGAAGAGCCACTCCAGGGCCTCGAAGAGAATTCGCTCCCCAGACACATCCGCAGACCGCGCAGCGCGCGGCGGCCCGCCCGCGCCGGGCGCGGAGTCCTTCGCGCGCGCAACCGCGCCACGCAGCATCTCCAAGGTGGGCGGCGGACAGATCAACGCAGAGAGAGGCGCCAGCCATTGCGGTGGGCACCGTTCCGCCAACATCTCACCCCACGGCTAACGAAAAAAGACAGGACCCCAGTGCTCCGTGAGCGCCGACAGACGATCGGCAGGAGTAGAGGCAGCAGGAGCAGGGGAGCGCAAGATGGACGAGAGGATGATGCGCTTCCCGAGCGGTGACCACAACTGTACCTTGCGCTCCCAGGCCTCCAACTGAGCGCGGAAAGCGGCAGGCAAAGATGAGGCGTGCAGTCGGGCTTGGACATAAGCCTGGCGTGCCAGAAACGCCCCGTTGAATGCGACCGACCCAGGCCTCGAGGGATGGCGGGGGCCGCAACCGAACATCAACCCCAGCGAGCTCCAGAAAGTCCATCTTCTGAGCGAGTCGAGTCCTGGCGCCACGCCACTCCAGCCATCGCGCGGACCACCTGGAGGAGAGTCCTGGGAATGCGACGGCTTGTCCCGAAACAGCTGGCCCCTGATCTCCACCCAAGCGATCCGCGCCAACTCTGCACATCGTTCGAGACGAGAAAGCAGAGACATCGAGCCCCAACCCACGGGCGCCACATGCCCTCGCAACCGCCGCCGAAAAAACTAGATCACGACAAAGATCTTTTAGGGAGGGCCCGTTGCTGAGGCGCGTGAGAGGCACGAGAACGGACGGTGAAAGCGACGGCAACGCGGTCCGATATTCCTGCCTCGGACTCCTCGGCCGCGGACCCCGCCGTCGCCGGAGAATAGGAGCTGGCAGGCCACCCAGCTAGGGACCGAGAGGAAGGTCCCGTCGATGATGTTGCCCCTCTCGGCGGCGGCCTCGAAGCGCGTGATATCCGGGCTCTCGGTCTCAAGCGCCGTGAGCAAGGAGGGCCCCGCCGCGCCGCGCGCCCGCGATGGCGACGAACGGCCCAAACGTCAGCAGCCTGCGGCATGCGCCGGGAGAGCGACTCCTCGCTGGAGAAGTTGAAGTCCCCGTCGACAGCCACCCAGCGCGAGTGCGAGTCCTTCACTGCCAAGGCCAGCACCTGCAGGATGGTTGCCGAAATCGAATTAACCTGCGTGGTCGAAAAGTAATGGTCGCGCGCGTCGACCACGCAAAAGGCGCGCAGAGCTCGCGCGGACGCGGAGGAGATGCGCCCGCCCAGACACAGGAGTCACCAGTTCAGTCACAACAGGCCCCCCAGCTGCCACAGCGAGAGGAGGAATAATAATGGCGACCCCACCTCGGGCACGCGCCTGAGCAGAGGCACCGCAACAACTTTTCAACGCCGAGAAAACCGAGCAATTGGCCGTGGCGAATCGACGCAGCTGACGTTCATCTGGATGAATTTCTTGAAGAGAGATCACCGTGCGTTGCGGAAGCAATCGCCCGAGGCACCCTTTCTTGAGGATGGCCTTCCCAGCCGCGGTCTACAAGAGAGCGCGACAGTTCCACGTGCAAAAACGCATGGACGGGAAGGGGCCCCCCCTTGGTCGCGAGCGATCGAAGACCGCGGCGACGTCAAAGGCACCAACTCGCCTCCGCCATGGGGGCAACGGTGGGGGCGGCGATGGCGGCCGCGCGGTCCTTCGCAAGGCCGTGCTTGGCGAGCTGAGTGGGTTCCCGGCGCGGCGCAGCCGGAGCAGCGCCAGGAGCAACAGCGGCACGCGTGATCGTGCCCCCCCCCGAGCGCGATCGCGACACAATCACGGTCCACGTAGATGCGCTTCTCTGGAAAGGCCTCCGCCAGTGCCGCGCGACGCCGACGAATAACCACTTCAACCTTGATCTGCTTGGGCGATTTGTCGGGGCCGAGGTGGGGGCGGGCATCGATGGGCGAGCCAGGAGCAGCAACGCGAAACTCCTTCCAAGACTTGTCATCGCTGCGCAACCCTGCCAGGGCGCGCTGGACCTTCTTGCTCGCAGGGCCAGGGAGGCCACAGAGCTTGGCCACGAAGCGCTTCGTTGGAAGCTGGCCGCGGGGCTCAACCTTGCACTCATCATCCTTGAAGCCAAGCTCGGAGAGGAAGGCCGAGTGCGTGGTATTGGCAGCCTCTGTAGTCGTCGGCCGTTGGGCCACCGCCACCAGAATGGTAGAATCGGGTTCCCGATCGAACCCAATTGGACCAGGAGGTGCAACAGGGAGACGCTCCTCAGCGACTGCAAGAACTTGACGAAGGGCCCCCATCTCCTTCCGCAGACGGGCGAGCTCGGCATCTTGACTGTCAAGACACCCACCGTGGGCTCGAAGAGTTTCACCATGTGCATCCAGCTGCACCTGAAGTCGTCGCGAGAGATCGTCCACCTGCGGACGGCCTGCGTTCTGCACCAGCTTGTCCACATCGGATGCCTGGGCTGTGGCCCGAGAGATGAGGGCGTCGATAAAAGCCAACAGCTGAGCGTGGTTGCTTGCGACGATGTCACGGACCGCCTTGCCAACTGAGGCCGTGAGGGAGGCGCGCATCTGCTCGAACTCATC